TCACCCTCTAAACAGTTCAGAGTCCTCTGTCTAGGGAATACTGCTGCCCACAGTAGGCTGGATAACTGTAGTTATCCAGTTTATCAGTTAACTTAATTAGGACTGTAGTCCACAGACATGCACATGGACAACCCAGTTTAGACTCTTTTCTAAGATGATTCTAGGTTTATCAAGCTGACAGTCAAATCTAAGCATAGAGTCTGCTGTGGAAGGAAATTTTTGACTCCCAAAAGTTGTCCTCTGACTGTCAATTACTTAACCACCAAAAGTTGTTCTCTGATTGTCTACACACACACACACACACACAAATAAAATAACGTGTGGCCATGTTTGGCATGATACCTGGCACCTTAAAAAGTTCAAGTGTGTGATGTCTATTTCTGTTAAGACAGATTGGAGAACCTCGACTTTCTGGAGGGGAAGCGAAGTGAATACAACATGAGTGGGCCTGGGTACCTCAATCCTCCAGTTCTTGCTGGCTGGAATCACCCTTATCTTTTAGAATCTTATATCTTGTCCAACTTCTTCAGGCTCAAAGTCCTGACCAGTCTCCTGGTGCTGAGCTTGCTTACCCTGAGGAGTTAAGGGCTGTTGCCAGGGACCATCCACACCTCTGTCTACCTGGGCCAGAACTCCCCGACTCTCCTTGTCTTGGCAGGGAGTAGGCAGAGATGGCTTTGAAAAGCATTCTGAATGGGGTCCCCTGGGGAGGCATCCGGTGGGTAAGTGCTGACCTGCTGGTGGAAAGCATTTAAAGTGATTCTCTGGCATTATCCTAAGAGCATTCATATGCAATCAGGGTGGACACATTTTCTAAAAGGCAGATAGAAATGCATCCCCCGCTGTGCTCAGGAGCCCAAATTTGGAAGGCTCTTGTCCAATTAAAGTATTATGGAGTCCAGCTGCTCTTCAAGGTTATTGCTGGAGAGGGAGGAGTCAAGTTTTTTCTTCTACTTTAAGGTAGAGTTGCAGCAGAAAGACCAGTGCCTGTAGAGAACAAGAGAATGTCTGAGTCTGTGCTGCTAGGAGTGAACCTGAATTCTGTGTGTGTGTGTGTGTGTGTGTGTGTGTGTGTGTGTGTATGTATGTGCATGTATGTATGTGTGTGCTGTCTTCTTCCTAGTTTTGTCCCCAGTCGTTCTGAAGATTTAGGCCATCTAGTTTTGAGTCTTATGCATCTTTAGACACATGAGTATGATTTAGTTTGGCTGCTTCCTTTCTTCCTCCCTTCCTCCTTTCTTCCCTTCCTTCCTTCCTTCCTTCCTTCCTCCCTCTTTCCCTCCTTCCCTCCCTCCCTTCCTCCCTCCTTCCCTCCTTCCTTCCTTCCTTCCTTCCTTCCTTCCTTCCTTCCTTCCTTTTCTCTTGACAGGGTCTCAGGTATCTCTGAATGGCCTTGGACTTTCTATATACCCTAGGATAATCTTGAATTTCTTATCCTTCTGCCTCCACCTGGGATTACAGTCATGCCCTACCATGACCTGGGGGTAGTAGTAGTAACTTGCTCCCAGGGCTGCGAGACAAAGTGCATGTAAAACATTTAGGGAGCCTGGCACAGAATGAGTGCCTGATTGTGTTTCTCTGCTTTCCTTTCTTAATGTGGACACATCTATTTTGTGGTATGCACAGCCAGCTATATTAGGTGCACTGGCTGTGAGGTACAGAAATGGCTGCAAGTAGGTTATGTGGCATCTGGGTGAAAGCTGTAGTTTATCCAGAACCAAGGACAGCATCCGGTAAAGGCCAATTTTCTGTTTATCAAACACCAAGGACAGCACCTGGTCCAGTTCAATTGGCTGGTTGCTCAACAAATGAATGAATGATTGACAAGTGAAGGGTGCCATTAATTTAGGCAGGAAAGATAATCTGGGTAGTAAAGATGGGGACATAAAATGTTATATGACACCCAAGGAGGGGGATGAGGTTTTGGGAAAAGAGGTAATCCAATCTGAAATATGACCACGGACATACTCACCACCTTTGCGACTTTGCCTTATTTTTCTCTACATTCTTAGATCACAACTACTTGCTCCTTTAAGACCCTGATCACTCTTAGAAAGCCAGATCATACAACCCAAAGAAATGCAAGCCCACACTCCTTGCAATTTTCATCTTGGGATAAAGAGCTAAGGAGCTGTTCTGTGCTATACATCCAACGGCAGCCTAATTTATAATCCTAGCCGAGATCTGGCCTTAACCTCATCAGGTGGTATGAAACTTCCTGCCACCTCTGAAAGGACATAGTTTCTTTTGTTCAATCCTGGAGGGAAGCTCCATTAAGAGACAGAGCTTGGGGGTTGGAGAGATGACTTAGTGGTTAAGAGCACTGGCTGCTCTTCCAGAGGTCCTGAGTTCAATTCCCAGCAACCACACGGTGGATCACAACCATGTGGAATAAGATCTGGTGCCCTCTTCTGGTGTGCAGGCACACATGCAAGTAGTACACTGTATACATAATGAATAAATGGAGAGAGAGTTAGAGAGAGAGAGAGAGAGAGAGAGAGAGAGAGAGAGAGAGAGAGAACTTAAAACAAAATGAAACAAAAAGGCAAAGTGGACACAAGTGGGATGGTCCATAGGAGCCTTCAGAGTAATCTCCTACCTCAAGGCCTGATCATGACCTTTATCTCAATAAGTTTATTCCTGAAAGGCAATTATATGTCAGCTCCACCACCCTCCACAATTGCTGCCGCTTCATTCTTGTATTTGACATATGCTCTTATTTTCTGCACTTTAGGTTACCTGGCCATTTCATAATTACCAGTCCAACTAACTTCATCTACTGACTAGATATCTCAGGATTCCATTTTCAAATTCCTAGGACTAATTCTGATTGGCTAAGCTTGAGTCAGGGATCTGTTAGACATCAGAGAGCAGCCAGTTCTGGTGGGCCCCTTTCCTCCATGGTTAGGTGCAGTTGGTTAGTGGCTACTTTGAATGGCTAAATCTGTGCATAATAAGGCAGTCTTCAGAATAGTGGGTGATCTGGGAGCATCACCTTCATCTTCAGAGCATAGGTAAGGAGACACAGGCATGCAGAATTGATAGGACTCCTGAATTCCCTGATTCTGTCCATATGGCTTATATCAGAGTTGTGCTTTAGGAAGTGGGGTTTTGAGAAACTCTTTCCCTCCAGGGGCAGAAACTTCCTATATAGCATATAATAGAAATAATAAAGTCTAATAATTGTAAGAGCTCAATTCTTGAGCAAAGCACATCAAAAGTCAGTGCATGTGTTCCTGTGAGATATCCATAAACCCAAGTGGATGGATTATACATGTAAACTCTTAGTTTTAGTTTTTAGAATTCCTACTGGGACCTCACATTAGGAAGCTGTACATTTCCCTAGTCTAGTGGCTCTGAGCGGTCATCCACCGCTACCTCAGGACTGGCTGACACACACATCTGTGGACCCTTCCCTAGACCTGCAGTTCCTTGGGAGCTGGCGTCCAGCAGGTTGTTCAGCAAGCCTTCCCTTCTTGAGAATTCAGACGCATGTGAAACCCTTTTTCCAGATGTTTGTAGCAGAGGGTTGTTCACGGTTCAAGGTGTCATAGAGTATGCAATGAAGACTTCTGACCAAGGATTATGAGAGTAAGCCCCCAGGGGATTGAGCAGATGTGATAATCACATCCAATCACGATGCTGGAAAAAGTTATAATTCCCAAAGGGCTATTGGTCTGGAAATCTCTTATGGTGGCTGTAGAAGGTAAAGTTGCTTTCTCTCTCATTCTTCAGAAGAAAGATGTCAGCACGGGATTCATGCTCATATGACTGACATTTTATTCCTCAGGCAGAGAGGGTGGGTAATACACTCTGAATCAAATTACAATGAACCAATGTCAAATTTCAGTCTTTAGTTAAGTGCAGTGCCAAGGCAGTTTTGATATTTGCTATCCCTTGAATGGTATAAATCCTACAGTGGTCCTCTGAGGTAGGTAGTATTATCCTTAAAGACGAATGAAGGAGTTTGGTTACTACTAGTTAGTGGTAATTCAGGGACTCAAATCAGAATCCAAACCACCAGCCACCATGCTAAAATGTCTACCTGAGGCTCCTTTCTCTTCTCTCCAGCCTTGTGTTATACACTGCCCTAAACTGTTTCCTCACCTCAGGGAGGTTTAGGCAAAGCTTTTAGGACATTTTTCTTTCCAACACAGATGTTGGAGAGGTTGGGGGATAGAGGGGCTTACAACTTGGGGGAAGATCTGCCGTTGTGTATGGGAACAGGGAACTGGAGGTAATAACAACAAGGACTTTCTGAGTTAGTTGCTAATCCTGGCCTGGGTTTAGCTCTAGAAAGTGAGTGAGAAAGAAAAATATGATGAGACCAGTCTTGTTGGGGTGAGGCAGAGATGGTCTGCCAGCTGTTATGAGGATGTCTTTTCAGATATAAGCACAGGCCAGCAGTGGTTGGTTTGGGAGAGGAGACCCTTCGTGAATGAGGTTCATGGGTAGAAAAGGCCATTGGACCATGACAGGGCTTTAAGGTGAGAGATCCTCAGAAAGGGACAGGAGAATATATTAAAACCAGCACCATGGGGCCTTAAAGGTAAAGGCTGGTCTTCCTTTCAAATCTGAAGAGGCACTTCATTAAGAGTAAGGTACCTTAGAGTAAGACAGATAAAGTTGCCATGAGAGGGATGGTGGGGAGAGGCTCAGAGGAGCCTTCAGAGAAATCCCCCAACAAATAATGGCTTTTTAAAGTTTTTGAAGCTGGTGGAAAGTTTTATATAATGTGATTTAGTTTAAGACAGCACATGTGACAAGGAGCATGGAGGGGCCAGGTACCCAAAATTAGGAGCTGTTGACCACAGCTTTGCATTTCTTTGTCCCAGCTGAGGGAGTGGGGATTGATTCCTTCATCTCTGAGAGTGACCAGTGTCTTAAAGGGACAGGCCCATATTTTAACAATCTTGAGTTAATCCCAGCAGCAATCAATCCTAATAGTCATATCAGGTTCTGTGTTCTCCACAAAAGAAGGCTCCAAATGGACACAGTAATAAAGGAATCAGTCAGAGTTAAATTTTATTGAGCAAGGATACGTGCTTTAGAAAAAGAGTAGATTGAGCAAAGCAGCAATGGCCTTGACCTTGGTGGGAAGTGAAGCTTTTGTTTCTCCTTTTCTTGCCATCATGGAAGCCCATTTTATGTCTAATTCAGTACAAGTAGATGCCTAAGATGCAAGAATATATAGAGAGATTTAAATATTCCTAAAGTTGAAAGGTAAAAGGGTAATGACACTGTGCACACTTCCCTGGTCAGGGCATCCTTCCAGCAAGTTTGAACTAACCTAACTAGTTGATGGTAGTCTACTACCATCAACTATTTTTTGGGGGGTGGGGGAGAGGCTTGAGACAGAAAAACAGAAAAACCCTGGCTGTCTAGAACTCGCTTTATAGACCAGGCTGGCCTCGAACTCACTGAGATTCTCCTGCCTCTGCCTTCTAAGTACTGGGATTAAAGGTGCATGCCACCACCACCTATTCTTATTTATTTATTCATATATATATATTTGTGGAGACAGGGTTTCGTGTAGCCAAGAATGACTTTGAACTTTTGATCTTCCTGTCTGTGCCTTCTAAGTGTTGGGGTGTGACATCACACCCATGTTTATGCAGTGCTGAGGGATCAAATCTAGGGTTTTGTGCACTGTAGGCAAGTGCTCTTATCAGCGAGTCACATTCCCAGACCCCTCTTCCTTTTCATGTGCTGTTTTCTTGGGGGCCTGATAATTAGCTTTTCCAGAGATGACATCCTACCTCTTTAATGAGGGCCTTCCTCATTCAGAGGTGTGCTGGAATCAAAAGAAGTCGCAAGGGCTGACACTGGAGCCAACTGCAGTCAGATTCCTCTAGATCTTCATGACCCTGGTTTAGTCCTTGGTCCTTCAGCCAGGTTTGGGAAAGTTCCTGTGAATTTAGTTTAGCAAACATCCTCATAGCCTTACCATTTCCTTTAAGTGATTTTTTTTTCATTTACTGACCCTCACCCTGCTACAGGGCTATAAATCCCCAGTAAATCTTGTTTGCCAAGGAAGAAGCCATATTTCTTCCTTGCTGCAAAACCACTTTGCAGAAGTCCTCCCGAATGAAGCTGCCTTATACCACTGTTGACAAGTATCTGGTTATCTTTCCTTTGCCAAGGTATCGGGGCATCATCATCATCATCATCATCATCATTTCTCATATATGACATCCTAACTGCCGTTTTCTTCTCCCACCTCCCCTCTACCCCAGATCCACTCTGCCTCTGCCTCCCCTCAGAGAAGAGTAGGCCTTTCAGGGACGGCAAAACACAGCATAAGCCACAATAAGCCCAGGCACATACCATCACATCAAGGCTGGACAAGGCAACCTGGTAGGAGGAAAAGGATCCCACAAGCAGGCAAAAGAGTCAGAGATAGCCCCCATCCCCACTGCCAGGAATCCCACAAGAGCACCAAGCTACCCCACCATATCACATATGCAGAGAACCTAGGTCAGACCCCCCACAGGCTCTCTGATCACTATGAGCCCCTATGAGTCCTGGTCAATTGATTCTGTAGGCTGTGTTCTGGTGTTCCTGACCTCGCTGGTTCCTCCAATCCCTGCCTCCTCCGCAGGTCTCCCTGAGCTTTGCCTAATGCTTGACTGTGGGGCTGTGCATCTGCTCCCATCAGATGAACAGGTGAAGCCTCTCTGGTCTTTTTGATGATGATCCCAGAACACTCTGTGGTCAGGACAAATTGTAGGTTGAAGGTTTTGTGGCTGGGTTGGTGGGCATCAGGACACCTTATGGTAGACCTAAATTGTCTCTCCCAGCACATTTGTTCTCAGAGACCCCTCCTTTGCTGGGCTCTAACACAATCCTGGTTGTTGGCAGAGACTGCTTGTTTGTTTCCCAGCCACCCAGACCCAAATAATAGCACAGAAGCTGCGTTAATTCCAATACTGTTTGGCCAATAGCGCAGGCATATTTCTAGCTAACTCTAACATCTTAAATTAACCGATTTCTATTATTCTATGCATTGTCGCGAGTTTGTGGCCTATTGGTAAGGTTCTGGATGGCGGTGGCAACTCCTTGATTCCACCTACTTTCTCTCTGTATCTCTGTTTGGATTTCCTGCCTGGCTTTACTCTACTAAGCCATCAGCCAAAACAGCTTCTTTAGTAAGCAATGGTAATAAAACATATTCACAGCATACGGAGGGGAATCCCACATCACCTGGTGTTCCATGTGCAAGTGTGTTTGGGGATGGTGGCATAGGTTCAGTGGGTGGTTCTATATTGACAATAAATTTATGCCATCTTGATAGAGTCAGGGCTCAAAAGGGAAGTTCAGCGAGGTTATAAGAAATAAACCACACTCAGTTGTCTCACTCGCCCTTGGCATCCCTCTGAGGATACGGGGTTCCCAAGAACCCCCACTTGTCATTAGCGGTGGTGTTTTACAGCCTTAGCTGCAAGATGCATCACATTCACCTTCCTTTTCAGGAAAGTGTGTTTTCCTGACAGCCGGGTGTCTTCAGTGACCACTTCTTGCCACTAGATGGGATTGTATGTTGTGGAATGCTCCGAGTCTTGCCGGGATCTTGCACGGAGAGTGCAAGAAAAGCAGGTTAAGCAACAAGAAAGGAAGGGAGTCTAATTCCTTCTTAGTGCTCAGAAGGAACTCTCTAGTCTCTCTCTGTTATAACCTTAACATTCTTACTTTGTTAAATTGTCTTTTCAAAGTGACACAACGTAATGTTGATTATAATTAGTTCAGAAATGTATCAGCGGCAAATACTTCCATTTCCTTTTGGAGAGAGTCACTGGTAAGAGTTTGGGCTGTTTTTTTTTCTTGATTTTTTTTCATTTGCCTTTAAATAGAGATACATTTCTGTGCCCGTATAGGTATATCTGTGTTTCCTCAAAATAGGCACATATAACCCATACACCTCCCTACTTAACTTGTTTCCTCTTGGCAGGCTTTAGAACATTTTTCTTATGATAGGGCAGATCTATTAACATATGAATTGACTGTATAGAATTCTATAGCATCATGAATTTTATTTATTTATTGTTTTGAAAGGATTTTTGTATTTTGTCTGTATGAGTATTTTACCTGCATGTAGGTATGTGCACTATATGTGTGTAATGCCTGAGGGGGCAAGGAGAGGGTATTATATCCCATAGAAGTGGATTTACTGGTAGTTGTGAGTTGCCATGTGGGTGTTGGGAACTCAACCCAGATCTTCTGCAAGAGCAATAAGTGCTTTTAACAGCTGCTCCATCACTCTAGACCTATTTTTCTTTTCTTTTCTTTTCTATTTTTTTTAGATGGGGTTGCACTACATAGAATGGGCTGGCTCAAATTCATGGCCATCCTCCTGCTTCAGTTTCCTGAATGTTGGGATTTTAGACATGAGACATTGCAACTGGTTATGTGGTAATGTTTATACCACACTTCTCTGGATGGATACCTAAAATTTTTTCCCTTTCCCTCTCCTTTCTATTAAAAATACTCATGGAGAGCATTAGGCAGAGAGAGTTTCAGAACCTAGGGTTCTCAGGAAAGTAAAACAATCCCTGAACGGAAGTTTAGCCAGTTACGAACCATTAACAAACACCGAGATAGGCACTTTTCACTTCTACCAAGTATTTCTTTACCTTATAGAAGTTTGTCCAGGTATCCCTTAGGTGGTGTCAATTCATGAATAGCTGGATATTCAAACTCTTCACCATTTAAAAACATGCCCATTTGTCTTCTTTAAATTTATTTTGAGAATTTCATACATGCATATGATATGCTTTGATCAAATTCACCCCACCCCTTTTTCCTAGTTCCTCTTTTGTCCCCTATCACGTCTCCCTCCAAACTTCATGCGCTCTGTTTCTTTTTAAAGATTTGTTTTAATTTATTTTTTATTTATAGGTATGAGTGTGCTTGCCTGTGTGTTTGTGCACATGTATGCAGATGCCCATAGAGGCCAGAGGAGGCCACC